TTGTTTCTAGGGAACGTATACGTCCCACCGTCGTCGAAGAAAGTCGCAAGCAAGGCGCAGGAGAACTTTGGACAAATTGGGGAAGATGTCCAGAGGTTCAGTAGGAAGGGAGAAGTTGTCATGGTGAGCGATTCAACTTCAGAGTAAGGAAAACTTCCAGTAGAGGACAGGCGATCTGGCAGCACGGAGAAGACAAAGTGAATGACAACGGAGTGAGGATGCTTGAATTCTTGGGNAGTTTGCAATGAATACTCGATCCTCGACTACATCCTGGTAGGTCGGGGGAGCACGCAGATCCCAGAGCTGCACGTAAGTGCGATAGATATAGGTTCGACCGACCACTTCCTCATATGGGCAAACATCGACCGATCTAGAAAGATGGAGAGTAAGAAACAGAGGAAAGTGTTCCGTTGGAAAGTAGAGCGTTTGGGAGACGAGGGGACACGGGATGAATTCCAGAAGGGACTGGCTGGCAGTGTAGAATCCTTCAGGACACTGCTGAGAAGCGTCGGAGACGGACAGGTAGACGTACAAGCAGGACAGCGTGATTGAAGGGTGGGAGTCCATCGTGAACGCAACGGCAGAGAGAGTAGTGGGAAGGAAGGTGGTACGATGTGGGGTATCGGTTAAGTGGTGGGATGACGAGCTGAAAGAAGAACGGCACGGCTATTTGGGACAACGTTGTCCCAAATTTTTCATTTGGGACAACACGTCTAACTCGGCGTAGAAAGCTCGTATCGACGTCAAACCAAGTTTGTTGTAATCCTACTAGACACAGCTTTCACGGAATGTTTTTGAGTTCACAACGAAGCCGGGGCCGAGGAGATAGAGCCTTAAAAAGGGTCTCTTTGTTATGGAGGATAACGTGGATTTACCGAAGCCACGGAGCCCCTTTTTTAGGCTCTATCTCCTCGGCCCCGGCTCCAAGTTTGTTGTAGTCCTACTGGACACAGCTTTGACGGAATGTATTGTTGAAATACAGCGCATTACTGCTGTAAGATGTGTGTAGTAGCATAGATGCAGCTGTATGATTGCTGTACGCGATGGTACGTAGATGCGGTATAATAAGTGACGTTTGGTAGAACGTAACATGTAGCGACGAGTTAAAGCGAGGAGCTCGTTGATGATATGAGAATGAATTGTAGCGAGATCACGAGGTGTTGCGAGCCCCACCGGGCTTACTCCCCAACTATCCCTCAACATCTCAACTCTGCAAGTAAGCTGAAGAAGAAGAAAGAAAGTACAAGTCCCAGAAGCGGCATTTAGCAACAACATCAGACGTCGGTCTTCGCCTCAACAGACTTCGGTCTGAACAGACTTCGGTCTGCATCACACAGACTCTGTCTGTGCTGCACAAAGGCTTAACCGCCTGCTGACGACCCTTGGGTACAGGGCACCTCGACACTACACATTTCTACATGTATTTTGAGTCCACAACGGAGCCGGGTTCGAGGAGATAGAGCCTAAAAAAGGGGCTCCGTGGCTTCGGTAAATCCACGTTTTCCTCCATAAATAGGAGCCCCTTTTTTAGGCTCTATCTCCTCGAACCCGGCTCCGTTGTGGATTCAAAAAACGTTCCGTGAAAGCTGTGTCCAGTAGAATTACAACAAACTTGGTTTGACGTCGATCCAAGCTTTCTACGCCGAGTAAGACGTGTTGTCCCAAATAAAAATTTGGGACAACGTTGTCCCAAATAGCCGTGCTGAACGAAGAAACAGGGGAACGTAGAGAAGTCTTCAAGCAGTACCTGAGTGGGGCGTCTGAGGAGAGTTGGGAAAAGTACAGGGCCAAGAACAAACAGGTGAAGGGACTAGTGAAAAAGAAGAAAAAGTGTATTTGGGACGAAGTAGTGCAGAAGGCCAACGGAGGCCTGGAGGGGAACGTCAAGCAGATGTGGGAAGGGATTATTAGTGGAATGGTAAAAATGACCGCGCAAGGGAGGGATACAGAGGTAGCAACTTTGCGAGGTGTGAAGGGTGGATTAGTCAGCAGTGGGAAGGGAAAGAGGGAAGTTCTAGCAGGACACTACAAGAGACTTGGAGTTCCCTCGGAGAATGAAGCTATTGACCAAGATTTTAAGAAGGAGGTGGACCATTGTGAATTAGTTGCTTGATCGAGGGGTCGTGTCAGGAAAATCGTGCGTCGAGACCACCAGTAGTCGGACACGGTTTGACCTTTGAATACGATTGCAGCAACTAGTCTGCGTAGCAGTAGAAAAGAATCCATCTCTCCTTGGCATGTATTCTCTTGTTCTAGAAATATTCCGGAAGCATGCTAGGTCAAGGTTGACCGGGACATCTATGTAGAACGTGTGTAGCTTCTGGAAGCCTTCTGGAAACTTCTGGTTCCTCCTGTAGCCTCTGGAAGTCTTTCTGGAAACTTCTGGTTCCTTCTGTAAGCTTCTGGAAGCGTTCTAGATCTAGGTTGCAGTTGATACTCTTCTAGAACGTAGGAGGGCTTCCAGAAATCATTCTGGAAGCATTCTGGATCTTTCGTGTGATTGGCTTATTTGTCCGGTATTCGAGAAGAGTGGTGCAGCCCTAAGCTCGCCCACTCCTCTCACTCCTCTTCAGTACCAGCAACATCTGACTCGGGAGTCAGCAACTAATAAAAGCATCTTCATATTTCCATTCCAAGTCTCTCGCGGTTGGAGACGCACAGAGTGTGAACCTCTGAGGTAGGCTACACAGCCTCCTGGCATCTGCAGCATCGTACTGCTGCTAGTGCACAGCGAAATATCTCTGACAGGTTATGAGCCTCGGCTAACGCACACACTACGAGCTGCGAACATCACGGGAAGATCAAGGCAACCTCTTCTCGGGACATCAACCTTCATCCGTGGACAACGAGAGAACCTGGTTTCGGAGATTTCTGGAGATTGCGACGCCGTCATCGGTCAACGGCAACACAAGCAGACGCGCAAACTTGGTCATCTACACCAAGGTGCTGAGGGTTCACGTCGTATACACACGTTACCACCCCTGTGGCAGTAGCGGGTATCTCTGTGGTGAACTAGCAGCAAGGGTCACGTGCGCGGGAGTCTCGAGCGGCATACGCATCGGGTGTACAAGGAACTACACTGTATCATCAGTGGAGGCGATCAACAACCGGAGTCCTCTATATCAGTAGCAGGAGCGGGATCGGAAACAAGAAAACCACAACCGGAGTCCTCTATATCAGTAGCAGGAACGGGGTGGGGAAGTCTCGGGTACAGGCAGTAGTACCACGAGCAAACTTACTCCTACAGCAGGAAGTACTTTTATCAAGACGAAGAAAATAAAGCTGGAACGAGCAATGGATACTGCAACGAGCAACACAGGAGGTGGAAGCGCGTTCGCCAGCGATAGTTCTACGAACCTGGCAACCGTGATCAAAGGCCTCAAGAAATTCGACGGAAAGGACCCAGCTGAGTTCAAGACATGGATGAAGAAATTCTGCGTGGTGTTAGGTGTGACCAGGAAGGACATCCTGCCACTGCTGAAGAAACAAAGGAAGCCAGATCCCGCAGACACAGCGGCCTTCGACTCCTACACAAGGGCAAACGAAGATCTCTACGCCATTCTTTTCCTCCTAGTGGAACTTCGAGCCGCCTTGTCTATACAGAAGCACGAAGACGACACTGGCATCAGCGGCGACGGACAAGCTGCCTTCGAGGAGCTCTGCAACAACTATGACAGGGTAACGGACGAGGTCATCAGGGCCAAGATGGAGGAGCTGGAGAACAAGCCCATGAACCCTGGTGAAAATCCCGACGACTACTTCAACCAGAAGCACCTACTTCGCGCCCACCTGGATAAGATGGGAGAACCCATCTCTGACCGCCGCTTCAAGAACATCTGCGTACAGGGCTTTTCCGACGAATATAAGGGCTTCAAACTGATGGTGGTCAGGGACCCAACCTTCAACGCCCTGGACATGCAATCCACCATGCGCAACATCTTCTCGGACGAACAATCGCGCAAGGGATGGAAGGGACGCATAGGTGGTCGAGAATTTGCCACGGCATCGACCGCGTCTGACATCATCTGCCACAGCTGCTACGAGCCGGGGCACATCAGGAGGAACTGCCCCAAGATCAAGAACAGGGCGAAGAAGAGAACGAAGCCCGCCGGAGCTACCACGTGGTGCTCCAAGCGCAACATCACGTCTCACTCGGATGAGGAATGCTACCAGCAAGGAGGAAAGTGCCCG